GTTGGGTGCTAAATACCAACACGCAAGTGTACGTATCGCAAACAAGTAGTAAAGTAGACTCGTGAGAGTCGGATGTCGATCCCACAGGGAATACGTAAATTATTTAATCCTAAGTACCAAATCCTAACAATTGTGATTTTTATCCAGCCTACGCAAGGTTGTCAAATTAATTAACTAATAAAATTAAAATAATTAAGAAAACAAGTAATCACGAGAAAAATCAATAATAAACGGATCTAGGATTTTATCTTCCCCCTATGCGATAATTCTTCACCCAATTAATCTTCTATCATGCAAGTTACGATTCCCGATTATTAACCCAAGACACGGAATTATTCATAACCAGCTGTCGCTGCGCTATAAACCTATTATTCATAAAAGATTCACTATATGTCTATGCAAACCTAATATAAATAAAGCATTAAATAACAAGTCTCGCAAACGGCTACCTAAGGTATTATCTGTATGTCTACGATAATACATGCAATTAACACACGCATTCGGTGAAAAACTACTCGAAGGCTCTTCTATCCCTGTTCTAATTATTAAAACGATCTGTCAATCAATTCTAACAATAACAAATAGCAACATAAGTTAGCTACGCTCATGCACTAAATAAGATCAAGATAGAAGAAATAATCGAAGAATTAAACTTGCATAAAAGTCGAAAAAGAGGTTCGAATCACCACATAGGGTTCCAATAAAATCCTAGAATAAAAACTTAGCTACTCATGTTCGTAACGAAAAACATAATAAAAATTCGAAGATTCATAAAATCAGAAAAGAAAAGGAAAAAGGAAACTAGGATGAAGATTCGTCAGGTCTTCGTCTTCGTTCTCTTGCTCCTCGATTGCTTGTAGAAACGATAAAAACTCCAAAATAAAAATAAAAGGTAAAAGATTCCAAGATAGATCTAATTGTGTGCTCTTGGCCTTTAAATAGGGTGCAAAAATATAATAGGGCGGGTTTCCTTGTGTAATTAAAATTCCTTCACTGCGCCTTCACGTCCACCCGGACGGCCGTGTGAGATTGAGAACTAAAATCCGCACGGCCGTGCAGTCTTTTAATTCTCCAGAATTCTGCTTTTTTCACTTTTGGCCCACTTTTTCTCCGAAATTGCAGTTTTCACCCCAAAAGTTGTCAATTCTCCAATTTGCACCTAAAATACAAATAATAGCCATTTTAAGCACCAATTATCATTAAAACACACCAAAAGCTCCAATTAAAAGGTACAATTAAGTGTATAAATATACACTTAACATTGGTGAAGAGATGTACCTTGCCAATAAGTTAACAGAAAAAGCTATATCGGGCCTCGTGCAATTAACAAGACACATTAATGCACCGATAACACTTAGATAAGGTATTTCCGGTCCTAATAATTCCTCATTTTCTTCTCGAGGATGAATGGATCTTTCTTTACATCTAATGACTGGACAACCATAGGGCTACTTAATGGATGAGATTTATCCATATAAAATCGTTTGAGAATCTTTTCCGTATACGTTGATTGATGTATAAGATTTCATTCGACAAATGCTCGATCTGTAGGCCGAGACAAAATTTTGTTTGTCCAAGGTTTTTCATTTCAAATTCTTTCATCAAATAATTTGCGGTTTTTGTAAGCTCTTCAAGAGTCCCGACAAGATTTAAATCATCTACATATACCACAATAATGGCAAATCCATTCTCGGATTTTTTGATGAAAACACATGGACAAATAGGATTATTTATATATCCTTCATGAACAAGATAATCACTAAGACGGTTATACCACATCCTTCCAGATTGTTTTAAATCGTACAAAGATCGTTGTAATTTAATTTAGTATAATTCACAAGACTTGTTGTTATATGTCTCGGGCATTTTAAATCCTTCTGGGATTTTCATATAGATGTCATTATCTAATGACCCGTATAAGTATGCAGTCACAACATCCATAAGGCGCATATCAAGCCCTTCTGTGACTGCAAAACTTATTAAATATCGTAACGTGATTGCGTCGATCACGGGAGAATATGTTTCATCATCATCAATCCCAGGTCTCTGCGAAAAACCTTGTTCTACAAGTCTTGCCTTGTAGTATATCAAAATTTCATTTTTTCATTGTGTTTTCGCACAAACACCCATTTGTACCCAACGTGTATAACTTCTTTAGGAGTTTGGACTATTGGTCCAAATACTTTATGATTTTCTAAAGATAGCAATTCAGCTTGCATAGCATCTTTCCATTTTGGCCAATCATTTCTATGTCGACATTGTTCAACCGATTTCGGTTTAGGATCCTCATTCGCAATATTTAATGCGACCCCATAAGCAAAAATATTATCAATAATGGCTTTCTGTCTATCCCAACTTTCTCTTGTATTCAAATAATTCATAGAGATTTGCGACCCCCGCCTTCTATGAAGCGTTTGTCAAATTTGTCTATTAAAAGAACCAGTCTAATTTTTTTATAATACTAATTCAATCTATAGCTCACAAAATTACGTACGATTTATTTATTAAAAACCTTACGTCTAGCAAGGTAAAGTACAAGGGTTCCGAACTGTTATAACAACTTCTAACTTATTTGATTACAATACTATAACATAAGTAAGTTCAAACACTGATATTTATAATACAAGACAGCGATTATTCTTAACTTAATCGAACCACTATTTTACAAATATAAAAAAAGGTAGCTACTCGGACGGAAAATCCTCTGATTCATTCAAGCTTGCACATGTGTATGAGAATATGACAGAATAAAGTAGAGCATAATTCATAGAAGACTTAGTGAGGTGAAATATAAGAATGATGAGTTATAACATTATCTGAGAGAAAGTTCGATGATCAGACCATTAGGTGATATAGGAAAATAGAAGCGTTTTTAAAGATTATATTTCAATTGGAAATTCAAGAATAACAATAAGAATGATTAATCGATTTTCCAATCAATAGAAATAAGAATACACCTACCTTGTGACTCCCGTAGCCGTTTACTACCTTATTCACCGAGCAGGGAATGACCATGTAATGCAACGTGGCATGCCCAGGCGCATGCCGGTTTAGCCCGAAACCCAACTAACCTTCAGTTGTGTACGGGTCTAAACCTATGTGGGTACTGTTGGAGAGACTACCCATCGCCGGCCCGATACCGCCCAACGGTCACCTCCAAACAGCCTCGGGTCGCCCATCAATATCCATTGTCCTTAGGCGTCCCAAAATGACTTTATCGATCATATAAGAAGACCATATTATTCTGATTATTTCAGAATTTCAAAGACAATAGAATTCCAAAGAAATGGGATCAAGTGAAAGGTTCAAAGAACGACTTGATCTTTCAAGATCTCAGCTTTAGATCATGAATAGAAATTGAAGGAAGACGATCGGCTTCAAAGATTTCATACCGATCATTCAATAATTCTTATTCGAAAGAAAAATGGAAATCGAAGAGTTGAACTCTCGATAAGATAGCATTTCTCAAATAATCTGAAGCTCGGCATAATCGAATTAATTTTAAATAACGATATTCAAACAACAATGACGAATAAATCAATATTACAAAGAAGAGCAAAAGTCAGGCACTCGAGTGATAGAATTACCCGAGCCTACCATATTCCCAGAAAAAGGTCAAGCAAGTGAACCCTCACCTTCGTCCAATCAATATCACTCGTCTGTTACGGTTCCTCAATCTCAACACCTATGCAATATTTAAACTATAAGACACCAAATATCTATTAAAATAATTTAATATACATTGTACTAGCTTTCTATGCCCTTATAAAGGCCAAATAATCCACGTACCAATTCTAATTTAATCGAACCCCGTAACCAACATCAAAACTTAAGACATAAACATTGCATTTATGTTACCAGATTAATGAACCAGGACGAAGACCCACATAATTTGTTCATATATGACGACTTTCTCAACATAAAAATAAAACTTATATGCTGCCACAGTTTACTCAAAAATTCATAACAAATTCCACGTTTTTCCAAATTGATCACATAATATGTCGAATAAAATCTAACTAATAATCCTACGAGTTCACAGAAGACTTCGATCCCAAATTTTGAACCAAAAGTAGCAGAATTACCCAAAACTAGCATGTAGCAGAACTGCCAAAACATTGAAATATCATTTCTGGTACAACTTATTTGAAAAATAATAACATGTTGTACATATCTCGAGACAGAACAAATGATACACCACATTAAAGCCAAGAACAATATCTGCGAGTTCAATGAAGACACCATTTTCAAATTATGAGCACAACATAGCTAAAACAGCCCCCGAGAAGGGTAACAAAAACTGCGAGGATTTTACAAAAATCATTTTCTGGTAGTATGTTTTGAAAAATCCTAATAATTCGAAATGTTATCCAAATGTAACAAATAATATATCAAATCAAACATAATGACTTCATCTTCAAATGAACAGGGACATTAACCTCAAATTATGACTCGGATACATAAGAAACAACCCCAAAAAATTAATTATATGAGCTGCCAGAATTGACAGCTTCAACTCCCATATTCCTCCGTTCAAAAAGCCTATATGACTCAATCATATGGAACGAGCTTCAACATATAATTAATTTGCTCCAGAAAATCTATGATTTTTGAGAAGAAAAGACTTTAAAATTTGAATTCCAAAACTCCCAAATTGTGTTCCGAAAATCAGAGCAACAACAAGTTTTATTTTCGAAAATTCCTTTTGAAGCTATTGTAGAGTTAAAAATCAGTTTCAACAAGGGTTCTAAAATTGAGGAAAATTAATTATTATAACAGTATTCATCCTATTCTACGATTTTTATGAAGAAACAAAATTGAAATTCGAAGTCAAAATACCTCAAATCGGATTATGAGATTAACAGTAGGCTGAATATCTTTGACAAAATCGAGCAATCGTCACCAAATCAAATGGGTAGAAATTTCCACCGAATTATAGCTTCTACAGCGGGCTTTCTAACGCTATACCCCGCTCGCTTGAACTCCACCGAAAGGATCGTCAAGTCACCATCTTATCTCCGTTGATTGAACCTTAGCTTCTTCTTACTTCTTGATATCTTTCTATGGTTTTTGATATTCAATCTCTTGAATTTCTGGGTGGTGTGTCGTTTATATGCTGAGTAAGAATGGGAGTGATGAATGAATTTGAGACGAGATGACGAGGTATTTATCGGAGAAAGAAGACGCTGATGACTCTACACCTCGAGACACGCGACTCTCTCTCAATTTTCGAAATAAACAAAATCTCCCTTCTCAATTATCTGATAAATGAACCCACGTCATTTTCTTGGTTGGTAAGTTTCTAATTTTATTATTTATATTTGTACTTGTACCCCAAATTTATCTATTAATAACACTTCAGCCACCTAAATCTCACTATATTACTATATTACTCTTATTAATGAATAAACTTCAATAATATACATGTATAAACTATTATTATACCACATTATAAAAATTAAGGGTTGCTACAAGATCTCTTCACAGATGAGGTCTTTTTCGTTAGCCTCTTGCATGATGATTTCATCATCTTTAGACTGATCAGTCACTTTTTTCATAGCGCTTTCCTTTTCAATTATATTCTCTTTAGAAAAATTTATTTCATGCACCCTTTTCCTTCGAGGGATTTTATCTTTAGCGCCAATAGACGTCCACGTGTCATGCG